TTCCTGCTGGTCCCACTGGGCTATGAAAAACATTCTCCTCCAGATTTGGCTGTGTCATCTTGCCCCTTGTTTAAAGGAGATGCTTGGCTTGGTTTGTTTTTGTTTGTGTTTTGTTTTGAAATGGTATTAATCCTTTCTGTGTGTCTTCCTAAGTTGTATTTGACTGGAGCAGTCTACAGCTTGGATGGTTCTGATAGCCTGAAGGAGACTATGCAGACCAGTGTTAATTATCCACAACAGGTATGTGAACCACATTTTGGCTTCAAAATCCAAACCTGAAGCTGGATGACAAAACCAGACCTTTTGAAATCTATTACTTTTGGTCTGGTTCTTCGAAGTCTCAGTTTCAGTGTGTGTCCCTCCCCACCCCCATTTTGATAAGCGTTCTTGGAAATTGTAACAGAACGCTGCCGTTCAAGACTCTTCAGACTATACGTTTCATCCAGTTCTACATACGGGTTAAACAATGGACTGCCTACGGCTTCCTGCTGCCTTACATTGAGATATTTTTATTTGCAGAATGAAGATGGACCAAACGATGATGTGCAGCACGTTGGCATCACAGCCAGGAACGTTCCTTGTCAGGCCCAGCAAGCTGCAGAGAACCTTGGTGTTGAACTTGCTAGATTACTTCTGAGCAAGGGAGCTAAACATATCCTTAGCGTAGCAAGGCAGCTCAACGATGCCCGTTAAACCTGTGGTGTGGTAGGCATGATTGCTACAAGTGTTGCTCAAGCCTCTGCAGCTACTGCCTCATGGTTCTGTGAGGGAAAGGATTTATTTAACCGTTCACACTAGTCTCATTGGATGCGTGGACATAAAAACTTGAAATGTAAAGTTAACTTGTGAGTACTGAGCTTTGCAGGGATTTCATCCCCTTCTGCATTCCTCCAACTCGCAAGCTATCTCTGTGAAGGTCGTTTCAATTATTGTTGTCATTAGAAAGTCAAAAAATTTGGGAAATGTTCTCCTATAGCATTTAGGAATAAGGAACTGAATACAGATTATAATCAAAGACTAAGCTGTGACAGCACTAAAGAAAATAATGTACGTTCAGTAGTTATAGAACTTGCATAATCCTTTGAATACTATTTGGGCCTGTTCACTCATCAGAAAGACTGCCACGAGGGAGCTGAATAAGGCTCCTAATACAGGGGATCTTCATAGTAAAGTTCCAGGGACACTATGTTCATCATAGGTCTCAGGTAAAGAATTAAGTTTGAAGTATCAGACCTAAATTTGCCATCAGCCAGTAATTAATTATGATGGGAAGTAAGTGGGTGGCTCGTTTATCCCTGGATAGTTATAATCTGAGACAGTCATTGGTATACGATAGCTAATCAACTTTGAGCTAAACTTGAAGAGGGAAAAACAGGGGTTGTTTATGCCTTTTTCTATAACTGTTGGCTCTTTCCTTGTACTACAGTTCAGAGTTGACATGTCCAGTTCCATTTGCAGACTGTCTCTCCAGAGCTCCTGCGTTACAGTGCCTTGTAGGAACACGGACATGGCATCTTACTGGGGTATCGTTTTGGAAATGAAGCATTGTTTATTCTCGAGGCAGCGTCCACTGAACGTAACAGCCAATAAATACAGTTAACTTAAAGGACCCAAAGGACTTTGGGGAGCAGCGCTTGTATTTACAGTACTTTTGATCGCAGTGGAGCGGGGTGGCGTAGGAGTTTCAGTGTAGGAGTTTCACTCCGTTATTGCCGGGGCCCCCAGCCAGCCTGGCTCTCCCCCCC